TGATATGAATGTTCGACTAGGTGTTTGGATTGCAAAATGCAACCTCGCGCTACAGTCGCTGTCGCGATTGTACAAACGCTAAGTTTGACATCCATCGCACTAAATTCCTGCGCACGGCTTCCGTCAGTTGACTCGTTCAACTGGAATACTTTCAGATTTCTTTCCTCTATCCTCTTGATATTCTGTACGTTATTGTGGAAAAAGTGCTTGCTGTTGAAGTGTATCAATGTCAACCGAGTACGAAGCAGCAGTCAAGTACCTGAAGGTATGACCTTTGCTTAAGTGATGTGAAGAGGTTATCGAAAGCTTCGGTATGATTAGTATCCTCCGCTGGGATGAGTTTCATTCTCTAACAGAACTTGTTCCCGAGAGTGGGAAAAGAGGAGATTTGCTGGGCTTTCATCGAGTCGGAGGGAAACATTGATCGAGCGGCTGAACTTATACTGGATGGACAGGTGCGAACATTTTACAATCTTTTTTTGCTTCATATTTCAACTTGGCTTTGGAGGTATGACAAGAGTAAGACTCTCCATGATATCGCTGGATTACATCCTCTAATGTTTAGAACATTCTTGCATGTTTGACCTGGTGCCAAGCCCATTGTACGCTCTTGTTACTTCTTTGTAAGTTTTTCCACAACCTTCATCCAGATACGCTTCACGCTGCCTTTTGAATTTCATCGTGAATATAAACGCGCAATAGTGCACGACAAGTTTTAGAAATATCAATAACTCTTGGAGTCGTTGTGGGGGCAAGGCATTTCCTTCTTCACATGTTAGAATGTTGAGGAATTTTTCTCTCATTCTCTAAAGTCCATGTCTCTGCTTCTACTGACAGCTTCAAATCAATGCTAATTACAATAACATTGAGGATAGTAACTGCCACGTTCGGCTCTCAATGAACCTCGGCATCAAAGATATAATAGTTTAACGATTTCTTTCAAACTGCTCACGAGGTTGTTATCAAAACCTTTATTGGCGGCTAACGTTTCGGCGTTGTCGCCTTCTTCGGAGCCTAAAGGGTAGAACTCAATTTGTGAATGTCAAACGTCTCACTTACCTATACCGGGCTTCGACGTAAACTGAACCTCCACAGAACCCTACAAGGAATGATGTTGTGAACAATGGGCTGTTGTGTGGCGTTCCAGTTCTGCGTCGAAACCCGGTATAGGTAAGTGAGACGTTTGACCGTGTAATCACAAATTGAGTTCTACCCTTTAGGCTCCGAAGAAGGCGACATCGCCGAAACGTTAGCCGCCAATAAAGGTTTTGATAACAACCTCGTGAGCAGTTTGAAAGAAATCGTTAAACTATTGAGGATAGTGATACTCACGTCTTCTGCACTTCCTTTTCTCCAGTATGGAGAACAGATTCGTACGTCTTCCGTACCACTATATCGAGCTTGAGAGCTGAAGAGACTAGGGTAAAAAGCTTTCTGTGGCTCATGTTTTCAGATAACTGACGTCTTAATCTTCCGCTGGTGTCGATGCCAGAGAGTAGAACTTGGAAAAAATTTGATGCCTAGACGTTTACTTGAACACAACTTGGAAGAGGTGGTGGACTAGATTGATCCAGAGGCATCAGAAACGCCCGTGCAGTACGGATGTTCCTCGTTCATCCGCCCGTATACATACATCGCTCCTTCCAACTACTGGCTGTTCTCCAAGCTATCTCGTTACCTGGATGGGAAAGGCTTAAAGACCCACGCTCAAGTTATGATCGAAGTCTTATTTGGTCTCGCGTCAGTATCGTAATCGTGAACGATTTCAAAGAACGGCGTCAGTGCTGCTCCTGGCCGCTACTGTTCGTGTGCTTTGCGTTGTGGCGTGCGCTACATCTTCCAGTACGAATCGCGATTCTGGTTTGCAAAATCTGTCGTTTGACTCATAAACAGGGTGAGGTGAAATCGGTTTGTGGCAGGAAAACGCAGCACTTTACGAAATTCGCAGGCAAGACGCCGATAAATTGTATCTCTTACCAATTCCCGATATCCGCTAACTTATATAGGAACTCAATATGATAGAGTAGCGGTCAAAAGTGTTCGTCGGAACGCTTTTTCGTGCATTTCATTTATTCCCTCCGGAGAAGGATCTGAAGATTAGTTCGAGACCATTCTTCCAAATATCTGAACTCCTCAAATGCCAAGCAATTGATAAGCTTTAAAAGGCATGTCTCATTAATAGTGGAAGGGCACGTTCGAGTATTAATGATACATCCCTTTTAAATGCCATTATAGCCTTTCTGCGAATCTCAAACACCACCTCCCTACTTACAGTGAACACGAACGCGAACACGTGCCATTTGTCGTAAAACAAAACAAATCGCACACAGGACGAGTAGTAGACACTTGAATAGTGAAGCTTCGCTTCTCTATGCCACTAATGCACACTGAGCGCGACGTTCTCTTCATGGATTGACGGTAACCGTTATCCTTGAAGCGTCAATTTATTGAAAATGCTTTCCGAATATTTCTGCAGGAACTATGAACTCATCTCATTTTGCTTCGAATTTCTAACATCTGAATCATTTTTGATGGGCCTCCAATCAGTTTCTTCACTAATTGAAGGGTGTCACACGGATGCTACGTATGAAAGCACTGAGTGACAAGCCTCTCATGAAAAACTAGCTGCACGTTTGCCCATCTATTCGTGTTAACCTCGAAGTGAGCAAAAAATTGAAATGAATAGAACAAAGCAGAGAAATGTTGCTCAACTACGTTCTCCAACCAATTTAGTCTAAGATGCACAAGAAAGAAACGGTAATAAAAAGAAAACCGAAAGAAAAAGACAAGATGGAAACAGAAGTTACATGTTGACACACAATTAAAACAGAAAGAAAGCCCAAATATAAAAGACAAAGAAAAATAAAGCAAAGAAAATGAGGAGAAGCAGACGTGATATCCGTGAATGTTTCCATTTATTTGGCAAAGCCTTATACCTCAAAGCAACCCCCCATTTCCCATCTTCAAGCATTCATTTGTCGCAATCAATTACAACGACCATCATTCTTTCATTGACATCGCCACGGCATATTCCTTGCCAACATTCTCAACAAGTTGCGGTCTCGTTAATTCACTGCTCGATGTATATTTCGGCCGATCGATCTACGTCGGCGAATAATGCGCATCCTCGGAGGACAAAGTGTACTCGACACTTATGCGACGGCCGGGCGAGGCACGCGTCCCATGCTACCGTACTCACCAAGTTGTGCACACCTTAAATCGATGCGCGACGCACACTTCAGCTGATCGCTTTTTACGGGCTAGAGCACACGCAGCCACGGAGAACGAAATCGCCGACATTTATGTGACGACTGGGCAGCGCACGCGCCCCATGCTACCGTAACCACAGCAGGATATCGCCGCCATTAAATCATGTTCGGGGTAAGTCTTAGTCAAGCCCCCTCTGCAGGCCAGTACACGTGTACCACGAAGGGCAAAAATCACACGATGTGCTTTCAACAGCACATGGAAAAAGCAATTGAGCGATATGGATCAACAGTCATTCAAACCACTTGATAAGCGAAGAATAAGAAGAATTCACAAAACAGTACAAAACTGTAGCAAATGACACAAATGTCAAGTAGTTTTAAAACTTCAGTATATCGCCGTAAAATTGCAAAGAGCACACGACGCATTTCATCGCCATGAAACAAGTGAAGCCGCTGAGTGTTCAATCCATCAACCAGCTGCGGAAGTGTTCAATTCAAGCCAGAAGGATGAAACAACAGGCCGTGATTCGCAAGAATGTCTGTCATTGGTAAGTGTTTTCGTACAATCCAATTAATTCAATTATACCCATGCCCTTTGAAGCAAACTGCACTTTCAAAAAGTGGGTCGTCCTCATATAATTCAATCCACGTCGGGATTTCTTCTCTGGAGTCCTCTACGAAACCTGCTGTTGCTAATCCATGCTGTTCTGAGGAAAGGAAGTCAAATGGTAGTTGCGTAAGCTGTACATTAAACTAGGAAAGGACGAGAGGTCAAAGTGATCATTTGTGATGGAGGATAACCATCAGACTCTCTTTTCACGAACTTTCACGTTTGTCGTACGATTATTTGAATGGAGTTGTGAAAATCTTTTTCCACGCTGCTCAACCCAGGATAGAGTGACAATATTTGTTCTGGATCATCGCGTCAACGTTGAACATTTACAGACGGCTGTTCATCGACTTTAGTTGTTTCGATACCGTCGTAATCTATTTTAGAATGCGTTTAAAATGATTCCGTTGGCAGTTTCCATTCACTGTTCCCCAGATGACCTACCCCTCATCCACTTAATCCGCTCGGTTATTAACTTTAGTTATTCTGCCAACTTTAAATGGCAAATTCGGAATTCGGACCGATATTCGGAATGACTGAAAGTCACCCATGACATTAAGTGTACTTCTTATGACAAGGATGAGCTATCTTCTAAAAAATTAAATTGAGGTAAACCCTCGAGTCGCTCTTCAAAGCTGGTTCAAGCTATAAAGAGTATGGTTATGCTGACATGTGGCGGACTAATGCGTCGATGCTCTCTGAAATTAGGTTAGTTAAGACAACACCTATGTCAGTCTAGCAGAACGATGAGATGATTCTTTCGTTCACGTCGCTCTGCAACCAAGAAATTTGTGACGACCGTCCTCAATGACGATGATGAGCAGCGGGTCGCAGAAGCGCTCTCGCAAGAATTGAGCTAAGTGGTGTACGAAACTTCGCTTGACACGCACGTTCACTGGACCTATCTCCGACTTACCTCCACTTTTCCAACTATCTCTGTAAACTTTCAAGCGAAAAGCGGCTCAGAACACCCGACGGCGATCGGTGGCCACTTTCAGCCTCTGGAAGCGCTCAGTTCACGTTGACGAAGTACTTTAGTATGCATCCTGTTTTGAAAAATGAGCAGTTTCCAGCAGCTTATGTTCAAAATGAAGATATTATCCTCGAATTGAGAGAGGTCACCCACCTCTTTGAAATAGAGCTCAAGGACCCGCATCACTTCCTATACAACGTAATAATATATGCAAGCAAGGATCCAAGTTTTTGACGTGAATTCTGCTGATCTTTCTTCTTATGTGCCTGGCTATCCTAATACGCTTTCGGATCAGTAAGACATGTTGTCCTAAATCTTGATCTCAAATATCATAGGGCGTGGGGTAAATTTTCATGACTCCGTTTGAAGGCCTGGCAACTTTGAAAAGCAGAATCGTTACCGTTATCTCAAGAAACAAACGGCGGTTTATCCTTCACTGCAGTTGACCATTTCTACCTGAAATCCTTGCTTAATGAGAAGTTAGAATATGTACCCAGCTGTGCTGAGCCGTTTGCAATTTTCACATCTATCCATGGCAGGATGCTGTCCATATGTCGACATTACAGCTCCTAGTGATGATCTGGAGGGTTTGCCGGTAATCATTTTTGAGGTTGAGTTCGCTTTGTTTGTGTGTTACAGCTTCACAAAGTGAAACTTCGGTGGTTTATCCACCTTCACTGCCTGGTCTTGTTTCCGAAGAGTCAGATTCGTTCATGGATGTCACATCTAAACAGTCACATGAAGGTGTCTGATAGTGATTTCAGTGCAGTTTTGATGTTTTGAATTGTTAACATTGGTTGGTCGATGAATTTTATCGCCAGCCAACTCGGAATTCGCAATTTTACTGTATCAATTTCTAGGAGTGTTCGGTGTGAGGGGCTCACTGTCGACATCTGCGCAATCTACTGTCTCTGTGGTCCCATCGTACGGCTGTCATGATGAACAAATGAAACCTGCACACAGCCATCGGTGAGTCCCTCCAACATGATTAGTATTTGAAATTTTGAACTCTCCGAGGTTTCGAAAGTTCACTGCAAAAACAAAAACAAGAACGCCAAGGTATTTCGGAAAGATCGAGAGGGCAAAAAATGTCAACCCATGAGGCACCTCGTCAAAGTTTTCTCTCGCAAGAATAAAGTAGATGGGACGGCAGAGGAAGGGGGAGGTTGTAATTCGTGAAGCGGGGCGAAAGTGTGCTGTGTTTTTGAAAGGGAGGATATCGAGGCTTCCCCAAAAGGGACAGTTTTGGGTATTTTAGGCCTACAAAATTCTTATGACTTTTAGCAATTCTTGCCTTTTAGAAATTATGTTTACCTATTTACCACCCCCCCCCCCCCGCCTCGGCAAACTTGGATTCTTGGGATAGGTTGTAAGTCACCATTCACCATCAACTATTAGCGAATGGAGGATCCGCAACATTCCTGAAATTGGCTGAACCCCCCTCGGTAACCTCATATAGCAGTCCCATATCGGAATATTCCTGGAATGCTGAACAGACACTGGACATTGGCACCGGCTTGAAAGCCATTACTGTGGCAGTCTCAAAAGCACCAACGAGCTATTTTCCTCTGAACGCAACCGTGATTTAACAGTAAGCATAAAGGCTTCAACGACCGCCTAATAATGAAGTTCACTGTCGCCATCGAAAACGAAAAAGCGTTTCTTCTCTGGATATGCTTTACATAGTGAACGCTCCAAGCAAGCAAATGACGAGTTCGGAGATCTGGTCCATGAGGAGACGGCTGATGTATCATCACAACAAGCTTTGGCGCAGGACCTTAATGGACACGTTGGCGCCACGAAAGATGGTTGCAGTAGTCAAATATTGGTCTTGGATATTGGTCGCGTGATACTGATGGCGAGCGAATTTCTGTATATGCAGACTCGCATAATCTCGCCATTGTGAACACGAAATTTCTAAAATGTGACTCTCATTTCATCACCTTCCAGAGCGGCAGAACCAGAGCACAAATTGAATCGTCCTTGTCAGGGCACGGTAAAGGGCTCGTGACTGTCAGGAAAATAGTACCATATGAGGGGGTCGGCCCACCAGACCGATCACTAATTTTTACGCTAAAGATCGCTCTGCCGGGACCGAAAATAGCCGAAAGACGTGGGCCAGCGAGAAGCAACTGGTGGCGGCTGAAGGAAAAAGAAGCAGTTGTCGTCTATCGCATTCGATTACCGGTAGTTACGACTACTGGCGAATCATGAGAAGGTGCAGCTGCAGCGATAGCCTGAATTGCACGATCCGAGCTTGGCATGAGCCTGGACGGCGGAAAATTGATAAGCAAACATTACTTTGGACGGTACACGTCAGAGAGAATGGTCGAAAGAACGAAAAGCGCACCACGTTCTTTTCGAAACTCAGCTGATAACTGGCGGAGCTATCAGATTGCGGAGAAAGAGGCAAAGAAGGCCGTTGCCGTCGCAATAGCTGTTCATTTTGCTGATGTCAACGAGAAACTCGAGTCGCACGATGGTGAGACGTAAATTTACCGAATCGCAATGAACCGCAATCCCCACGCTGAGCATATAGAAATTTTCTTCGGCGTTATCGATGAAAAAGTCCACGTCTTGACTGACGGCAAGAAAGCAACAAAGGGATGGCACTACGTTAAAAACATCTCGACAGTAAAACTTGCACATCCCATCATCCCCTGTGCTCACGGCCGCGTTCAAAAGGTAATCATGAAGGACACCATAATGTCTTTGAAGAAGATGAAATCAGGCAACTACCTACCGTCCGGTTACCTACTCTCGCACAGCATGAAAATCATTGAACCAGTTGTAAAAAGCTATATCCGTGATATCGTCAAGGTGACCAACCATTGTGGTTTTCTGCTCGACTCGATGCGCCATCGATGCCATACGCACCGCTCGCATTCTGCTAGAAGAGCTTCGCGAGAAACACAGACCGGTACATCTCGCCTTCACAGATTTGCAAAAGACATTCGATGTCGTTCCGCATACGTTACATGGTATGCCTTACGACGGCGTTTCTGACCTGCATCGCAATGACTAAGTAGAAGTCGAAATAGATCAATAGCAAAAATTACGGTTATGCTTTATGGTCCTCAAACAGACGCTGTTGCAAGAAGGACACTAGAAAGAGTTAGCACTGTATTTGGCTCAGTCTCTGCTACTGATCGGTCACTGAGCTGGAGGTTCGGTCGCAACGGCAAAGACAATACGAGCTGTGAAAATCGTCTCATCCTTGGCCTCCACTCACTTTAAATGAGGACCCTTGCGGCATGAACTGGAAGTGCAACCGTCGGACGATACTACCAGGGTATTGTAGCATACACCTGGACGCAACCAATGCACCAGCACACACCTTCAGGATGAACGGACGGCAGTAGAATGAAGACTTGATGAAAACCATATGCGGCGACCAGCCATGACCGAGAAGCAGGTATGACCCTCTGGGGAATTTCATTCTTTGACCACATGAGCAGAGCGTTCCCTACTTGACCACTAGTAAGGATGAGTCATAAGTTCACTACGACAACAACACGCAGCACGCCTGATGGCTACCTCGCAGCCAGGGCTCATCGGCTCAACAAAAGTCCACTCCGTGGTCAGAGAATATTGCTTTTGATTTGTTAGATTGGGCGGGTCTTCCGCTTTTACACTTGTTTTATTACATGCGAACAGTATTGTTTATGCCATCGTGGAACAGCTTCCAGGGTTGGCCGCAGTAATGGGAGAAAACCGTCCTAAATGTCCTAAAATCCCCTTTCTCCGAATAGGCGCTCGACCTCACATTGCCAAGATAACTCGCTTCTGAGGGAAGCTGGCTGGACCACGATACCATGTCCATCGTATAGCCATGGCATCACTCCATCGGGCTACCCCCTTCGCGTGCCTGAGGCAACAGCGACGAGAGAGAAAAAAATCACTAAATACAACCAATCCAAAAACGACCTTGCTGAACCCTCCAGCTCATAGCTTCACCCATTCTAGGAGGAAAGCATCCAACGGTTCTCTGTCGAATGGATGCATATCGATGATTATGATAATGGTCGTATTTTTGATCAATTGGCTTCAGAGGAAGATAAAACTCGATGAGAAGAAATTGTCGAAATTCGGAGAGGACTCATAGGACAACCCAATAGATTGTGAAATGTACTGCATTTGTCACCTACCGCCGTATATCCTACTTCTAGAAAGGGTGCCATCGATCTTACTGTCAAATTCACAGTGTCCCATAATGTTGGACCGCCAACTCTGGCAAGAGCTGTATTGACAAGATTACTATTCAAGGTGAGTTGTGCCTTTTAGTGAATTTGATTGTGAACCATTGAATTGATTTTCAGAGTGGCTGTAGGCAATTCAGCCGTCGGCGTGTTGCACCGATTCCTCGTGCTGAATATGAAGAGCAAGCTTGCGAGTATTGGTATCAAGCAGTGGTCACACCCATGCCAGATGAAAGGCAGTAAGCTGCTATTGTTTTTCTTCACTTTTCTCTTTTTTGCATTTGCTATTGTTTACTGCTAATTCAAGAGATCAAATGATGGTACGACTTATCCAAAAGCTTTGCTACTTCCTTGGTGGAGGTTTTCATGACCAAATTCTTGCCGAACTTCCTGGAATCAAAATGATTTTTGCGGAAGTAAGGTGAGTCAGCAAGTTCTGTAGTGCCCAGAGCTGAACCATGGAAAATTTGTTGCCACCAACCAACAGTCATTAACAAATCACAACCGGTCTACGAGCTGATACATTTTCCAAATGAGAGAGCCATTCACTGATTGGGGTCATGAAGGCTTCCCCCTGACCCTGCATACTGTCACTCACACAGTGTCCAACAGGCAAGGGTTTAGCATCAGTATTCCATAGACGCTTTCATATATCTTAATGCTTGGAAGAGCTGCAGCTGTTGTTTAGCAATCTATTATTCCTATGAAAACGCAGAAAAGACAGGATTAGGGCAACTCTCCGATAGGTTCTTCGAGACTCATTTATCAACGGGAATAGTGATGCGAGTTTCAAAGTTCGTGGTAAAGTAAACATCACGTTCATACAGTCATCTCTACGTAGGAATCTTTCCTGTTGTCTTTTGGAGAGTGCGGATCCTCAAATCACTAATTACGAGGTATCGCGCTTATCAACTTTGCTGTGCTGTAGTATGGGGTGGCGAATTACGTGCGCGCGACACTTCACTTCGTTTCAAACATTGTATGATAGATTTGTGTGTGCTTTTTTCAAGCTGTTCGACTATTGCTAATGATTGGTGTACAGAAGAAGAACTTTGTTATCTAAGTCCCGACAAAGACCTGCTGAAGTTGGAACGCGACTGCGCCGCAAGCAAACGACTGGACCGAGAGGTAAACGATTTCTTCGAGGCTCACAGTCTCTCTACGAACCGTTGGGAAGAGGAAGACCATCTCTCAAATCTGTAAGAGAAAGAGAACGGAGTACCAACACCGGATCACCCGTATCCATCCCGTTGATCGTCGATTTGCTCGAGCGGACGCCAGCAACGTCTCCATTCGCGCGTGCTAGAGTGGTCCAGTGGATCCTCCTTGCTCAAGGAACACGAAGTCCATCATTCCTTCCGTTCAGAGCTTTCATGAAGAAATCTGACCATCTGGCCTCGTCCAGGTGTTCGTTTGACGTTCGGAGGGATCCAGTCCCTAACCGCTCTGGTCCAACGGTCATCGCAAAATCGCATGACGTGTCCGGCCCACCTTATCTTCGATTACTTTGCGAAAACGGCACCTGACCTTCGATCGTTGGCGTAGTTCCAAACTCCGGATTCCCCTCTGCACTTGCATGGATAGGGTTACTCCTAGCATCGTCCTCTGAACAGCGCGTTGGATAACGCTGACCGCATGCTCGTCCTGCCTGCGCAGAGTCCAAGTCTCTAAGGCGTAAGTTAGGGCAGGAGGGACAGCGGAATCGAAGAGGTGGGCACGGAGCTGGATGTTCTTCGTCATCTTCACTACTACCTCGATGTTCTTGAATGCTCCCCATGCCGCTCGTTTCCTCCTGCTCGGCTCTGGAGCTAGGTCGTTCATCATATTGATTTCCCGACCTAGGTACACGTAACTGGAGTATTCGGTGATGTTCGTTCCGTTGAGCGTGAATGGGGCATCAGGAACCAATCCGTTTCTCATGAACGTCGTCTTCGTTAGGTTCAGCTGCAGACCAACCTTACCACAGGCGCTGTCGAAATCAACCAGCATTCGCTCCGCTTGCTCGATGTTCGGCGTTATGAGAACGATGTCTTCGGCAAAACGAAGGTGGTGTAGTTGTAGGCCGTCAACCTTCACTCCTATGTCTTCCCATTCCAGTTGACGCATGACCTTCTCAGCGGCTCTGAAGGGTTTGGGCGAGATGGTGTCGCCCTGTCGAACCCCTCTCTAAACGTCTATGATGACCTCCCTGTAGAATGGTGAGATCCTGGTTGTAAAGTAGCTGTAGAGCTCACGAAGAATCTTGATGTACTAGTAGGGACGCCCTGGTTGCCCAAGGCTTCGATGACCGCTTCTGCCTCCACAGAGTCGAAGGCCTTCTTCAAGTCGATAAACGTGAGACAGAGCGGCATCTTGCACTCATGTGAAACTTCAATGAACCAACACCGGATGTGTGAGGAGAAATATTAGGAAGAGGACTGACCAAAAAGAAGACGTGAACTTGAATACGAGCGCCGAACATAATCGAGTTTTTCGAAAATCTGTTCAGGTGACAGCAAAAACAGATCGCGGAATAGACGTTATCTGATATCAAACGGGCCCTTTTCCACCGTAAGCAAAACAAGATCGGAAGGAGAAATAGAAAAATTTGAGAGATTTTTCCCGCGGTGCGGCGGTCCTGGGACGCCCTGTCGTTTCACGAATAAAAGTTCACCGTTAAAGAGCCTTGAAACTCCTAGCTGTCTTCTTCTTCTTCTCCCTAGCGTTAGTTCCGCGCAGTTGCAGGGTCCGCTGTCTTTGTCGGTCGTCGCCATTTTACTCTGTCCAGGGCGTCCTCTGCTGCGGCCATGACTTCACTTAGATCCTTCTTGATCACATCTCTCCACCTCTTCTTTGGGGCTCCTCGCGGTCGCTTGCCTTGCACCTCAAAGTCCATCGCTGTTCTTATCGGATGATCCCGTGGCCTCCGTAGCACATGCCCATACCATCGTAAGCGCTGTTCCCGTACCTTCAGCTGGACAGGGGCAGTCTGCATGACCGCTCTAACATCATTCGTTTCGTTTTCGTTTCTAACTCTGTCCAGCCGCGTCCAGCCGCAGGCCCACCTCATCATCCTCATCTCAGCGGAGTGAAGCTGCCTTTTGTGGTTCTTGCTCAGGCGCATTCGACGTGCGGCGGTAAAGCACTCGCATGCCTTACTACGTCCGGATACACTTTCCCTATATTGAGCGTTTGGAGCACCGGATCGCCAGAGGCATATTTCAGGCACTCCTCACTTTAATCCGTGCCGCGTTGGATCGTTGCTTTCACTGCTCTGATCACACTCCCGCGGCTGCTAGATCGACTCCGAGTATCTGGAAGTCCTCCACTCTCGATGGTCTCACCATGGCGGCTCTACGATTTGGCTCTAACCATCTCAGAGCTCAGCGGAACTTGGTCGTGCTTCTTGAACATATCAGCATAGTCCCACCTTTCTGCCAGCACTTCCCGCATTTCTGACCTGCCCTGTGCTCTTCCCTGCTTGTCCGCTATCAGGGCGATGTCGTCAGCGTAGAGGAATGGTCTTCGAATGGTCCTTCATGAGGCCTTCACCATGGTATCGAGCGTAGGAGGAACAGGAAGGGGGATCAGGCTGATCCTTGATGACACCTAACCGTGATGTTTACTCCTTTTGTTTAGGCGTGGAGGTGCGTATGGCTGCTTTGACTCCGTTCGTACATGTCCTTCGCGGCGAGATCAGGTTTTCTGGCACGTTTTTCGTTCCGCTGGAGCGACCTCCACAGGCACTGCTCGCGGTAGGCCGGTCGAACGCTTTACCAGGTCGAGGAGGCCTAGGCAGCAAGGCCGGCGTCTCTCGATACTTCTCCATCACTTGCTAGCAATGAAGATGCATCCATTGCAGACTTTTCGGCATAAACCGACATGTTCCGGGAGATCGGGACAGATCCCGCAGCTTCTATATCGACGAGCGCTCCGTACAATTCATGAGATGCGGCAGTCAAACTTTGATCCCGCGGTAGTTTGGAGAGTGGCATTAGCGTCACCCTTTCTGTTTGGATTGGGGAGATGAGAAGGGCGATTAAGGTACTTGTCCTCCAGATCCGTGCATTTTTCCTTTCCACTGGTTACCTTGTTTTGGAAGCTGGTGAGCCATATCGCGACGATACGCGATTCTTTATTTTACATAGTTTCATTTGTCACTTATATTGTAGTTCAGTTTTATTTCTGTGTTGGTATTTCATAATCCTTTGTTCTATCTCACTCTCATCTATTGCATTCTTCCTCATAGTCGTGCTTTTGTGAGCTTTTACATACAGTTGTAGTCGTCGTCGAGCACTCATGCAGCGGCCATACTGATCTTACCATACACATGCTCCCGCCTGTGAGAGGCTCGACGGCGTAGTTCTGTTTTTCGTGGCTCGGGTTTCGCCTTGGTTCCTGAACGGTCATCTGGGTGAGACGCGGTGGCGTGTGAATCACTGCTGATCTGAGATTTGACCTCTCTTGTGGTGCTAATTTCAGATATATATTGGTGTGCTCATTTTCGGTATGTACAGAAGGTAATCGAGAGGTATATAAATTTGTGAGTCTTAACTTTTGGAGTTTTTCTCTTCGAACACGGTATTTTCTTCATTACATTTACGCGTGGCAGGTTACTCGACAGCATCTATTGTGTCGCGTGTTATCCTTTTATTCTATTGACGACACAATGGAAACTGGAACCACGCCATTTTGGCCATGTGTAGGAAGACATTGGGCCACTTTATGGTGCATCGTCTATCGTTAACCACGGACTGCACCAGAGCGTACGAATAATTCACCTTTTTACACGATTTTCGAATGGCACATTTTCTCATTCCTTGGCACTGCCCAAGTTCTGTCTCTTCTTTTTTTTATTCTTTCGTACGTCCCTATACACTGAAGCTCTTCGTTCTTACGAGTTCATTTTGGAGGTTTGCAAATCTATAGAGTTTATTGCCGACGAAAGTCAGTTTTATAATTCATCTATATTTTGGAGTCTGCAAATCCTTTAAGGATTTTGCGTGAAAAGGATCATTCTCACGCATTCATCTCAAGTTTCTCCTAGCATCTTGACATTTTTCAGTGTCAGGTGGCAGATTTTTACACATTTACCTTTGGCTTTCAATTTTTTATTTCATTCGAATCATTCTTTTTCTTCTTTTCACTTGGAGAATCTTACCGTAGTCAAGAAACATTAATGATGTTGGACCTCACATCACTGAAGTCGAAAAAAGCCCTCGTAACCCGTATACTGACGAATAACCTCAAAAGGTAAGTCGATGAAGCAGAAGCCTTTCTTTGGCGGCGGGGTCAATGGAGTCATATCCATCGAGTCGTCTCGATTGCGTTGATTGATCGACCTTTCAACTCGCTGCCCTTCTTTCTACTGGCGTTGAGGTGATACACAGGGGCGGTAGACACCATAGAAACATACCAGAAGACTCGCAAACGACAGAAGACTACG